GCACACTCCCTACTGGGTATGTGCACACACACACACACACACACACACATACATACATATTGTTCCTGGTTCTGGCACAAAGCTCCTAAAACCCACAAAATTTCCTGAGTGATACTATAGTAGTGTCTTGTTATTCATAATGAGCCCTTTTGGACCACATCTAAGTTTATGCTAATGAGATGACTCAGCATGGAGCCCCTAGACAGCTCAAGATGCTGGCTGGCCACCAAAAAGATCAAACAGGTAAGATTAGAGGTAAAATTAGATCAGCCCCAACCATTCCTCAGTTTCCAGAGAATGGGGGAGGACTGGAGATTATTCAAGATAAAAACTTTTGAACAGCAAGACCCAGAAGAGCTTCTTGGTTGGTGAATGCGTCCACATGCAGGAAGGGTGGTGCACCTGAACTCCTTGGGGGACAGAGGCTCCTGTATCTGGTCCCAGCCCACATACCTGTACATCTGGCTGTTCATTCATAGTCTTTATAATGAAACCCATAAAATGTAAGTAAAGTGTTATCCTGAGTTCTGTGACATTCTAGCAAATTACTGAACCTCAGGGGGGTGAGCGTTGACCTATGAAACCAGGAAGTCACAATTCAAATTTCCTGGGTTGGGTTGGTCAGGGGCACATGTCGGGGTTTCCGGCCCCCATCCCCAGTGTGGGGCATGAAGGAGGCAGCCAATCATTGATTCTCTCTTACCGTCAATGTTTCTATCTCCTCCCTCTCACTTCCTCTCTGAAGTCAATAAACAATATTTTTAAAAAGACCTAAGCACTAGGGCATTCCACCCTTCAAGTTAGTGAGAAGAAAAATGGAAAAGGAACAGCTGGTGTAGTATGGGGAAGATTGGTAGACTCTGATATCTGAAAGCAACTGAAGAAAGTGTTTCAAGAAGGGAGTGATCGCCCTAACCGGTTTGGCTCAGTGGATAGAGCCTCGGCCTGCGGTCTTAAGGGTCCCAGGTTCGATTCCGGCCAAGGGCATATACCTTGGTTTCGGGCACATACCCAGTAGGGGGTGTGCAGGAGACAGCTGATCGATGTTTCTCTCTCATCGATGTTTCTAACTCTCTATCCCCCTCCCTTCCTCTCTGTAAAAAAATCAATAAAAATATATTTTTTTTAAAAAATAAGGGAGTGATCACATGACTACTTGCTGCTGACGGGTCTGATAAGAACAGAGAACTGACAATTGAATTTGTCAGCATAAAAATCATTGTGAACCTTGATAAATGTGGTTTCATTGTTCTGGAAGGGGCACAAGCCTGACTGTAGTGTATGAAAGAGAATAGGAGGTGAGAAAATAGAAACAGTTTAGGCAATTTTTTCAAGTTCTGCTATGAATAGTTAGCAGACAAATATTTGGTGAAGTCACTGGAGGGGAAGGTAGGGGCAAGATTTTTTTAAAAGATGAGAGTTATATTCCATTAGTGTGCTGTTGGGGATGGTCCAATAGAGAGAGAAAATTTGACCATGTGGATGAGTAAGCAGATAATTGCTGGAGTCATGCCTAATCCAGTATATAAGGGAGGGCCTGGCCTCAGACAGACACATGGTCTATTCATCATATAGAGGAGTGAAGGCAGAGAGTGAGAGCCTGAATATTGGAGGATAATATTTTTGGTGGTGGGAGGATAGGATTTTTTCTTCTGATTTCTATTTTCTCAGTGGGGGAAAAAATAACAGTGGCTGAAAGTGAGAAGCAAGGAGATTCTGTCCTAACATAGGTGATGTGTCATTGTGTAACTGGATTTTAACCTTCCTGGGGAGGGGCAGAAGGTCAGGCAAGTCTATCTCAAAGCTTGAGGGGAGGGAGTGATGAGTGGGTCATTAAGCAAACAGAGGGGCTGAAAGGATGCCTCCTGTGCTTGCCCATAACTCCCTGGGAGCTCAGAGGGCTTGGGCTGCTAGAGCCAGGTGGGGCATGTGTTCTGTGCCTGGGGTTCCTGGACTCTTGGAAAGGTGTCAGGAAGTTCGGGAAACCCAGACACTGTATGAGGAATTTTGTGTGTGTGCTTTTGTTTCAATGGTATAAAGTCCTCTGAGCCCACCTGCTTGGGTTCCCCCTTCCCTTGTCATAAAACAGGAGCAACTCCCCAGAAGGGACAAACATCTGAGAGATCATAAATGGTGGATAAAATCATTAGATAGAAAAATCTTTTTTTTTTAATTTTTATTTTTTTACTGTTTGCCAAGCTATTGGAAGAGAACAGAGGGCATGTCCTGAAGTGAAAAAGTCCATCTGGAAGTGAAAACAGCCACACACTTAGGTGAAGGAGAATGATGATCAGACCTGCCCTCTCTGTAGAAAATGCAGGTACCTGGGTACACATGTACCCATGTGCTCTGTGTGTGTATGGGATAACAATTAACACTTGCATTGTCTGATGGTTTTCAATGGGCATTTCCATAACACAGAATGGCCACAGGCCATGGCCACTAGGTCACACATTTCCCACAGGTTCAGAGTGTAGTGCTCAGAGTCCCTCACTAAATGGCGATGCTACAGCCCACGTTCAAGTATTTTGTTTCTCCTTTGGTGCTCTATCCTTTAGATCAGGGTTTGTAAATCAGCATCACCTGGATGCTTCCCTACAATGTAGTCTTGGGCTCGGCTCCAGCCCTAGAAACTCTGATTCAGTATGTCTACAGCAGGGCCTGGGTAACTGCACTGTTGGAAGCATCCCAGGTGAATCTGAACACCACTTAGACTTGGGGAACAACTACCCTATGTAAAAAGCCGTGTGTGTGTGTGTGTGTGTGTGTGTGTGTGTGTGTGTACGTACAGTGGGCAGGTGTCCTCCCACAGGCAGGCCTACCAACCCTGTAAAACATCTTGGATGCCTTTCATTCCTCTTTTAAGGATCTTCTACCCTTTGGCCATCCTTCCTGGTGCCTCACGGTTCTTTTCCTAACCCTCATCAGATGATGGCTTAGTCCCTGTTAGGGGTGGTACATTGTCACAATGGGGAGATGTTTTAGGGAGGGGATATGTCTTAGCACACAGTATAGTGGTTGTGTATTTGCCATGGCAGCTCTCTACCACAGAACTCCCACATGTATATCACATGCTTGCATGAACGCCGTACAAATATAATACCCACAAAACTCTCAGGATGGAAAGTAAACACATATAATGAGCAGGTTGGTTTTAGAGCATCCAATCTTTTCTAGGTAAAAAAAAATTATGACAGCATTTTAGTGTCAAGTCTTACCACAAGGCATGCTCTTGAAGTGAGGCCTCCAGAAATACCAGTTTGTCATGGAAACGCTGACAGGGCTTCAGTCGCGAGATGCTCACAGGTGCAGCCTGGAATGGCGCAGCCTCCTATGGCTTATTTACATCCTGGCCCATTGAATGAATTCTCTTTTCCTGTTTTCTGGCCCATGGAAAGTCAGCTGGCCTTCCAGGGACCTGGAGGGTTCTTACCAGGAAAGTGGCTGTGTCTCTCTTGGTGGTGGTCTTCTGATTTCTGAAGCAGGGAATAGAGGGTGGTCTTAGGATCGTTTTTTACATCTGGAAGGAGGGCCTGGTGAGTGTAGAGAAAAGAAAGAGGGAAGGAACGGAAGAGAAGGGAAGGGAAGGGAAGGGAAGGGAAGGGAAGGGAAGGGAAGGGAAGGGAAGGGAAGGGGAGAGGAGGGCATTGGGTCCCTAAAGATATGGATTCTCCCTTCTTCCAAACTGGACCGCAGGAGTCCTGGCAGGAGCCAGAGAGGAGCATTAGCTGCTTTATGGGTCAAATGGGCAGGGCCTGAGAGGTCTGGAAAGAGAAAAAGGTAGTTTCTGTCTGTGGGAAGTTTCTATTCAGTGGGGAAAGTGTAGTCACCTAGGGGCTCCCAATCCAATCTGACAAGGGAGGCAAGAGTTCTACACATGAGTCCAAGAAAGATGGAAGGCAGAAGGCACAGTCCCAGCATTCCAGGGCTCACAGTCTGGAGAGAGAAAGACTTGTTTCTTCAACCCTGGCCACAGGCTGCCCAACCCCTCACCAAACATCTCAGGAATTGAAGCCACCAACCCCGCCCAGACCATGGAAGAGCTGGGCTGAGACAGACCCAGCAGCCCTCTGTGTGCCTGCCTCCTGCTGCCTATCAGAGCTGTTGGCCAGGCCTGGGCTCTGCTGGGAGGCTGGTTTGCAATCAGGCCGCTGTGATCAGGCCCACCTTTCCTCTAGGGAGCTTGAGAGGCATCCCAGGGCTGGCTCTGACATGAATTTGTGCTCAGTGCGCAGGCGATCAGAGCTGACTCCTCTCGCTTCTCCCTCGGAGGTGTTGATAGTAACAGCAGAGACGAGCTGCCAAGTTGGCAGGAGAACAGAGAACAACAGAGCGACTGTGCACTGCGGATTGAGGCGGGCGGAGAGCAGCAAGCCAGCAGAGGGCTGGGCCTGAGCAGCAGTTTGTTTATCCTGAGATCTGAGATCCAAAGTGTCCCTCCAGTCTGGGCAGCCAGCATGTTGCACAAGGAAGGGAGACAATGTGGGCAGGTGATGTCTCCAGGGGAGGCCGAGGTGGGGGATGGGCCGGGGGAGGGAGGGGAGGTGTGCAGGGTGTGGTGTCTAGGAGGCTCCCGGATCTGGGTGCTGCAAGAGTTGATGGGCGGGACCTCTGGCTGAGCCTGAAGCCGCCAGCCAGCCTGGCCCCTAGAGGCTTGCCAGGCCTCTGAGGCAGGTCAGAGATCCACCTTTGTCCCTGCTGTTGATGAAGTAGCTGTGCAATTTCCAGACAGAAATGGACTTGGGGTGTGAGCTGGTGAGTCTGAAGCTGCTTCCACCCAAAGAGGACCTTAAGAGGACACCCATGCTGTCAATCAGTTGATCTCACTGAGCCTCAGAGATTGGTAATCTACTTCAGAGCTTTGTGTGGGGATTCAACAAAGTAGGGAGAGCAAAAACTTACCTACTGCTTACTACGAGGCAGACACTATTCTAAGCACGTTACGTACTCAAAGGCACTTACTCTTCAAATGACTTTATCAGGTGGGTATTATTATTCCCATTTTATTAATAAAGTAACCAAGGCACAGAGAGTAAAGTAACTTATCCAATGTCACAGAGCTCTCACCATGACTCCCCCAGAACAGTTCCAAACAGAAGACCCAGGCTCCTGACATCCTACTCAGGGACTCCGTGGGGCCCTAGGGTTGTCTTCCCTGCCACCTCTGATCCCTATTACCTCACTTATCCTAGGAGCTGGAATAGTTCCTCCTTTGAGAGCCCCTGGCCTCCCTGTTCCTCTCCTCCCTCCCCCTCCTTCTGTCTGAGGCAGAACAGAGGAATTCTCAGCTTCCTCTAGTTACCCTCAGCCTGCAAAGAAAACATAGTCTGCTGTGCCTGCTGCTAGTTCCTCTAGTGACAGCCACAACCCATTTGCTCAGTGCCATCCCCAGCCGGTGCTATAGGCAGAGCTGGGGCCCTAGAGTCCTGCCTGAGACCGTGGGCCAGTCACATCAAGGCTGGGCCCTGGTGGCCACTCAAAGGGAGAGGCCTGGACCAAATAATTTCTTGAAGACCTTTTCAGCTCTAGGAGCTATAGCTGCACTGCATTCACCACCTTCTCCTAGGGGAGGAAGCCCAGTAGATAGACATGTTCCCCATACGTTGTGGGAGTTCATTAATGAAGCCTTGAAAATTAGTAACCAGCTTTACAAGTCCATTGAACTGTGCTACTGGCCACCCTTGCCTCTTAGGAGATATCTTTGCCACTTGCTGGGCAGCCAGCCAGAGCTACCTCCTGTCAGCTGGGAGACAGCCAAGCCAGAGCCAGGAGCCCGGATTACTGACTGCTTCCTAGGCCTGAGCTCCTCCCTGGGATGAGGAAAGCAGATCACCAGTGCCCAGGGAAAGGTACACTGGATAGACCAGCGGTCGCCAACTGGTGGTCCGTGGACCACTGGTGGTCTGTGAGGTCTGAAAGGTTGGCAACCGCTGGTATAGACGTCTCAGAACAACACTTTCTGTTCATGTGCGCTGGGAAGCACTGGGAAGCACTGTGGTTACATTAGCTACAGACTCACCCTCCCAGTTGTGCCTTTAGGTAATGACCGGTGACAGGAGGAGACCAGGTGGGGTGGGGAAGCTGGGGCGGAAACTCTGCCATGGATAACTCAGAAGGAAATGGAATATTCTAAATTTTAACTTGGAGATGAAAGAAAGCAGGGATGGGGTACCTTCTACTCAGAAACCTATTTTTAAAGGGATGTTCAGTCCCCAGGAATCAGCAGGAGCTTAATGGCCAGTAATTATGAACAAAGGGGGCTGTCACAGCCCAAGCAGCCCGAGTCCTTAGGCACAGAAGAGCTCTCTGTCTGGGCCAGGAGCTGGAGGGGAGATGAGTCGCCCCAGCAGAGGAAAGGTCCTGATGTGATTCAAGGCACATCCAGAAGGCAGCTGCCCATCACCACACAGGGCTGACCACCATCTTGGTCTTTGGGGTCCAAAATATTGAACTTGCTTTATCGGAGATTTGCATTTTCCTAGGAGGAAAACATGTCCGGTGTTGTATTAGAAGTCAGAGAGAGGAAGTCAACTCCCTGTGAAGTGACAAGGGTCTTTGTCCATTGCTTACAGAAATGCATTTACTGTCTGACTGGTGTGGCTCAGTGGTTGAGCGTCGACCCATAAGCCAAGAGGTTACAGGTTTGATTCCCAATCATGGCACATGCCCGGGTTTTGGGCTCCATCCAGGTGGAGGGCATGCAGGAGGTAGCCGATCTGTTTCTCTCTCATCAGTGTTTTTCTCTCTATCCCTCTCCCTTCCTCTCTCGCAAATCAATAGACATTAAAAAAAAAAAAAAGACTATCCCTTCCTTATTAAAAAGAAAAGAAAAGAAATGCATTTACTCTGTCAGACCCTGAGGGCTCATTGACCACTGATGATAAGGAGTCCGAGGGGTGGGTATGGAAGGAGACCACAGAGATTGGGGAGCAGCTCCCTTCCTCCTGCTTCTCATTCTGTTTGGTGCCAAGCAGTGATCAGATGGCATGAAATCAGGAGAGGTGAGAAGCAAGGAGCCAGAGCTGAAAGGACAGGGAGAATTTACCAGGGGTAAAAAGATGAGGGTAAGATCGAGAGTTCCCAGTGAGAGAGCCTCAGGGACCGGGGGAAGGGAGACTGCAGGAGAGAGAGGGCCTTTCTGGGCGGGGGGAGGAGACAGATAGAGGGCACACTCCCCAGCCCTTGACCTTCTTGGATGGGGTGCATGGCAGGCCAGCCCAGAGGCAGGGGGATGCCTAAGATGACCTGTAGGAGTTCCTTCTCTGTGAAGCCTCTGTAGAAATCCAGAATGGGTGAGCAGAAGTGGGTCGAGGTTCAATTTTCCTAAAGAAGGCCTGAGCTGGAGACAGGATGCGTTGACTCCTTTATTTATTTATGAGGCTATCGATTATAATGCAGCTTTTCCACAGGATCCTGAGGTAGTTGGAGTTGGGAGAAGATACCTTTTACCAGTTACCTTCCCTTGTCCTGAAGATGTCAGGCGCCATCCCCCTCCTTCCCCACCCGTTCTACAGGCCTCATCCCTGTGTACCCTATTGGGGGCTCAGGACAGCCCTCTAGTTTGCTCTTTTCTCAGGTCTGGCTGTTCTGGGTTCCTTCCAATATTTAGGACACACTCCAGCACCCCAAATCCTAACAGCAGGGCATTGTTTAACTGGAGTACAGAGCTGTAAAGGCACCTGAGACCCTCCTGGCAAAACCCTTTTATTCTACTGAGAAGGAACAGAGGCCAAGGAGAAAAGATGTTCCCAAAGTCCACAAGGAGAGACAAAAATGCACAAGAATGGAGGCCTGCTGATTTCTCCAGGCAGGACCCTGTGCACTATACCACCTTGCCTTCCAATCTGGTCCCTCAACCCAGAGTTGGGGCGTCCCTGAGCTAGGAATCACTCTCTGGGACCCTTGCCCCCTTTTGCAGTCTCCCAGCAGGGCCTCTCCTTAGATCGTTTTTCACTTGATGAAATCTTTGCTCTCAGTCGGCCCCACTTGAAAATAGGATTGAGGTGGTTCTGTCGAACCCCAGAGGAAAACAGGCTAGTGACAAGCTATGAGGCCGATCAGCCTCACCTGGCCTGGTCTACCTTCCTCCCCACCTGCCACCTTTCCTGAGGCCTCTTGCAGCCTTGGTGCCCCAACACTAGCCTTCTGGTGGGCAGAGATGCCCACGTCCACGTGTCATTGTAAAAGAAAGTGGCTGTTCTCCCTCAGTCCTGAATCCAGCTCTTGAGCTGCTGGGGAGGCAGGGAAAAGCTTTTCCAGTTGGGCAGAATCCAGGAGACAGGCCGTTGCACCATGCCCCAAGGGCTGGCTCCTCATCTTTGAAGACCCAGAAGTTTAGCTCAACAGAATGTGGCTCTAAAGATGAGGACCGTTGCTTGGGGCTAGGTGGGCAAGCTGCCCTCTCAAGGTTGTCTGTGTCATTGTACTTGTTAAGTCCATTTTGGCGTTCAGTGTTCCAAAGTTTAACCCCCAACCC